TTTCACATAGTCACAAAAATGGGTGAATACAAGCACTTTGTTCTATGTCAAAGCACTTTTCTCTAGCTAACGTTTCTAAAGTCTCCAGTAAATGAATGTAAGCCAGTGTCTGTGTTACCTGTCTAAGCTGACTGGGAATGCAGGGCTGGTTGTAAGTACGTTTGAAGGGCTCCAGGATCTTTTTCTATATCCAAGCACTTTCTATCAAGCATTTACTCGCACACATACTCACTCTGCATCATGTGCATTGGGGCTCAAGAACACACTGGTGTGCAGCCAGTGATCGAACCACCAACATTATTATGAGCAGATCATCCCCAACATGAGCCATAACCAGGAAAGTGTCAGACTGTGTGTGTTACCTGTCTTGGCTGATTGGGAATGCAGGGCTGGCTGTAAATATGTTTGAGGGGCTGCAGGATCTCAGTTCCTCCAAGATTAGCCTCCATCTGCTCAACTTTCTTCAGAGCCTCCTCCATGGTCTGCTGGCTGTACTCCACACTCTTACTGCCATCACATAAACACATGACCAAAACATCCATTCAGATATTAAAGACAGAAGGCCCTTTCTTGGGGTGACCGATATGAGGGGAGACTCACGGGAAGATGTGTTCATATCCGGACCCAAAACTGTAAATGTTGAAATAGCAGCCCATTGGTAAGCTCTTCAACAGGAGCAGCAGAGTATCCTTAAGAGAACAGGATGGTGAGGGATGGAAAATATGGTGAGCCCACTATGTGAGAGGAACACTATGACAGATTTTCTGACTGTAATAACTTAATACAGATACCCTGGCACTGCTGATGCGAGTTTCCTGCTGCTTGCTGTTTGTGATAGGACAGCCCATACTTCCAGATCGATCCATTAAGAACACAAACTCTCCACATGAAGCCATTGAAGACATCACAGACTGGGGGAACTCAGGGTACAGACTCACCATCACCACTGAATCACCCATCAGAGAGCCTGAAAAATAAACAAATTTTAAAAATTACCTAAATTTGCTTTTCATTGTTTGTTCA